AATATGGACAATTTTTTAGATATTTAAATACTTATGACCTAAATATTATCTTATTTAAACGAGAAGTTAGATGGTGATGACCTAAAGATTATTCTTGTGGGCTGTAACACCCTAACCCAACCCATTATTTGTGGAAATTAAATTTTTATTTTTATTTTTCTGGTTAATTTAACAAGGTGAGATTTTATTATTTATATATGGTTTTTATTTACTTATCTATCTCTGTCACTTCCAGTTTTTGGAATAGGAGGGGAGGGTGTGTATGGCGAGAGAGCGAAAAAACTACCAAACGGCTATAATTGGCGTTACAGATTTTCAGAGGACGAGATAGACAGAGAACGTACAGAGGAGAGAGAGGGAGAGCGAGAGGAGAGAGCGAGAGGAGAGAGAGAGGGGTTCTATTAAAGATCGTTGCTTTTTGTTTCCCTTTTGCCGAATTTTCCCTGAAAAAATTTGGCCTTCTGGGTTCGATTTGGGTCGCAAGGATCTGACGCTGCAGAGTTTGTGAGAGAGACGGCAGGCTTCTGGAACGAGGGGCTTATTGGGCATTTCCTGTTTTCCTTCAATTTTCGCCATGGCTGATGTGTATTACAGTTCGAAGAAGACTGACGATGTCTGCGACGACGTTTGTGGCCAGGTATTTTTTTTTAAATCTCGAATTTTATTTTGGGTGTCAATAAATTATCCCATTTTCTTTGTTGAAGTAAAAGTTTGGATTTTAAAGTATATTTGGTAATGGCTGTGTTGGGTTTTCAATTTCGTGCAATTGGGATTGTTTTTTGTGCATTGTTTGTGTGGTTGTTAATTTACAAAAAAATGTATTTGTATTTTGTAAATTTTAATCTTCAATTTCCCAGTAATAAAACTATGATTTTTTTTTTTAATTAGTGGGTTCATTTTATTTTTATAATTGTTTTGCGGCGTTGAAATTAAAGCTGTGGAATTTGTATTTGAGGCGGTTAATTTTAATTTTTGATTAAGGGGATTGTTTAATTGTTACGGGATTACTTAAGAGGTTTTAGATATTCACCTGGTTTTTGGTAATTATCTTCGTTACAGAGATAATGTTTTTCCATTTTATGTTCTTGTGGAAAAAAAATTCTGGGATAGAAGAATATGGGCTGGTTTGGAAGTGCTTTGGAAATGGCCGAAAGGGCTTTTGGTGGTGAAAATGTTTTTGGAACCAATCTTAGTAAAAATGCTAATGAATCCTGGAAAAGCTAAAGTGCTTCTTGTTGGAAGCATCTTTTGGACCCAAAATATTTTCGCTAAAAAACTCAGTCATTTTATAAAGCACTTTCAAACGAGCCTTATATAAACATTGTAAACCAAGTGCTAATTTGTATGAGGGTCTAAATTGCATTTGAAGGACTTTTTGTTTAATGTTTATGGTTGATGTTCATATTCTATAATTGCTTTGCTGCATCCATAAAGTTAATAGATTTGTTAGTATATGGAATTCGGGTATCTTATAAAGTTTTCGATTTCATGCACAGCAGGGATCAGAAGCAGCGTTGAGCATGGCTAGACTGCGATGCATTTTGCGGGGCTTGGATTTGAAGACTTACATTTTCCTGTTTGCGGTTGTTCCATTAGGCGTATTTGCGATATTTTTACATGGGCAGAAGATCTCGTATTTCCTAAGACCTCTTTGGGAAAAACCTCCGAAGCCCTTCATTGATATCCCACACTACTATAATCAGAATGTGTCGATGGAGACTCTTTGCAGGCTTCACGGATGGAAGATTCGTGAATCACCTAGACGAGTCTATGATGCAGTTCTTTTCAGCAATGAAGTAGACATGCTTACAATCCGATGGAATGAATTGTATCCTTTCGTGACACAGTTTGTTCTCCTCGAATCAAACTCAACGTTTACTGGCTTGCCAAAGCCATTGCTTTTTGGAAGAAACCGGGACAAGTTTAAGTTTGTTGAAAACCGGCTTACATATGTTACAACAGGAGGAAGATTCCAGAAAGGTGAAAACCCATTTTATGAGGAGGCGTATCAGAGAGTGGCACTTGACCAGCTTCTTAGAGTTGCCGGTATAGAAGATGATGACCTGCTGATCATGTCCGATGTTGATGAGATTCCTAGCGCCCACACAATTAATCTCTTGAGGTGGTGTGATGACACCCCGCCTGTTGTTCATCTTGGGCTGAGGAATTACTTGTACTCTTTTGAGTATTATGTAGATGACAAGAGCTGGAGAGCATCCGTTCACAGGTATCAGACTGGTAATACTACCTATGCACACTTCAGACAGAGCGACTACATTTTGCCAGATTCAGGTTGGCATTGCAGCTTTTGTTTCCGCCATATCAACGAGTTCATATTCAAGATGAAAGCTTACAGCCACAATGACCGGGTGAGGTTCTCTCATTATCTGAACCCTAAAAGGATCCAGGATGTAATATGTAAAGGGGCTGATCTATTCGACATGCTTCCCGAGGAGTACACATTTAAGGAGATTATCGGAAAGATGGGACCTATTCCTAGATCTCATTCAGCAGTTCATCTCCCTGCATATTTGTTGAACAATGCTGAGAAGTACAAATACCTATTGCCCGGGAACTGCAGGAGGGAAAATGGCTAAAGTCTTGAAGATGAAGGTGCCTGTTCAATCGTTTGGACAGGCAAATTGTTGATTAAACTCTCGTGAATATGACCATATAGTGATCTATTGGAAAATTGATGGATATGGTGTGGCAGCGATACAAATACACATTTTTCCGAAAGATTCTAGGTCATTCTCCTTGGAGTAGCTGGGAAGAACAGGGATGGCATCCTACAAATTACCGGGAGATTATGTACATTTCCTTTTTCTTAGGCTTCTTCCCTAGTGGATGGCGTATCAATTTTCGAGTGGGGATTTTTCTGAGTGGAAGCTTTTGGTGAGCTTATGTACCCACCTCTTGTTGATATAGCTTATCCCATATGCATGAGAGTCTTTGACATTTCCCAGGATTTTCTTTGATGGGAATTGTTATTTCTTAGACTAATTTTTATATTTCATCATCTGATTTCTCTTGGATTTTCGATTTTCCGCTCTGTTTTACACGATTGCAACGCAGGTTTACCTTTCTAGTTTACCGTCATTTTTCTTTTCGTTTCTTTTCGAAGCTGTTTCACTTAGGGGCACTGCCGTGAACTCTTCCGGTTGCTCTTAAAATCTAGAAAATACAGCTTACTTGGTTGATTACTTGTAAATTTTCTGTGGAGGTTGGTTTGTTCAGGGCGCCCCGCAAATTATTATGTGCTTTGAGTCATATTTTGTTCATCTGTTGTCATCTGGTGCTGCTGACTGCTGAATGAACCAATTTTTGTTCTTCCGTTGTGTTGCGTTAAGAGATTTCTATGAGGCCGACATGGATTACGAGTCTATGACAGTTGGTCGTGGCAATGTGTTCGGCCCCTTACAACCAGGGTCAAAATTTCACTCGTCGGTTAGAGTTGGTTTAGAATATTATGAAGTGAATCCTTTGACACGCCCCGATCCTGGTATTCGGGGAATATCGGGACCTCGATGTCCTTGGAACATCGGGGTCGGGGCGTGTCATCCTTTGTAAAGAGCAAAGAACTTGCATGGCCTAACACAAAAACTATCAGCTAAAATCAAAATTTTAATCCTCATATGACAGGAAATTCTTACATGTTACCGACAATATGTAAAGAGACAAGTGAGAGAATGAGATGAATATATCTCCGGTTACGCTCAAGTTTTATCCGGTGTGACAAAAGAGGCTGCCAACTCACTTCCTTGGTCAAGCAATTTATATCAAACACTAATGGTTGGTTCCCAGAACATGTGTGGATGCTGGGAAGAAATCTATTCATTGACTTCTCTCATTTTTAATGAAAAATCAATTGTCTTAACCACAAATTACCCTCCAAACAAGCATGGGCAAAATACTCAAACCCACAGTCTCTTTTAGGTCATTGGAGCACATGGTGGTTAAACACATTGCAGTCATAATATGAGTTGGGACATATAGCGCTTTGTTGCAGTGGCGGAAAGTAATGATGCCTATACACCTTAATACGAGTTGATTCTCACCGATCTCCCTTTTTTTCAACAACTAATAATTTAACTCACTAACGTTATCGTTTGGCAGTAAGGAAATTGTAGCTCAAATGATTAAAACATTTGTCTCTGCAATCGAGATATTATGTTCGATTCCCTACAAAGACGTACTCATGCTTTGGCTGATAGCTCAGCCCAATCTTTTTTTTTTCTCTTATAAAAATACATAGCATGAAGGCTTTAGCCTAGTTTAGAATTTAACATATCTCACTCCTCGCTTATCCAAATTTAATAAATTTGTCGAATTTTCTAGTAGGTTTCTATGCAAAAGAAAATTTAGTCACATTCTTTATGAAATCCTAAGTGCGTCTCTCTTTTTCCCTCCCCATTATCGCTTGTAGCAGTTTGCCAAATCAGAATTCCAAAGACTTGGCATTTCGAAAATATAGGTTGTATTTGTTGAACCAAAAACAGAAGAAAATAGCAGATAAAAAACATGGACTGAGGACAGTTGAGAAGTATAAACTAGTTCCAAATACGTACTTACAAATGTTCTTTTGACTTTCAATGAATCTTCCAATGTGGTGGGACCCACGGAGTGTGTTAGTGGATCATGAGTGCACGTTGAGTCGACTTGGTCATTTGGCAAAGTCAACATTTTCATTATTATTAATCATCACAGGATGCCCCACTGGTTGGGGACCAAATTAAGACCCGTATTCCATATAACACTTCTCGTGTCAAATCCTGAAGTAGATAAATCACATAGTTATGGCTAGAAAGAGATTGAAATGTGTATGTGAATCTTCTCGGCACCTAAAAGAGTAGATTAAAGTGGTGAAGCCATAAGTTAGTCTCTTTAAAAAAACAAAAAATTCATTGTTATTAAACGCATCAATTTCTTTTGGGAATTCTTCCGTTTTAGTAATATATATATATATATATATATATATATATATATGTGTATCATATATGTATGTATGTATGTTGAACTTAAATTTTTATTAAATAATTAAAAAAATAAAATGTAGACATAATATATGGTTTGGGTCCTACAGCTACTTTCCAATGGGCTTCTTACTAATAGGCCGAGCCATTAAAGGTTTTGGGCTTCAAATGCAAAGCCCTAATCACTGTCCCAATCCTCATCCAAGGCTTTCCTTGTTCTTGTGCTTTTATTACCATTTCCTTTCTTCTCTTCCCTCCTAACTTGATAATCCTCTTCGTCGCTGCTGTTGTAATCGAATCTCCCTGCCTTCGATGCTCCCGAGTCACTGGCAGCGTTTAATTCCCATATTTCGTTTTCAGAGTCACCGGAGATATCCTCGGACTTGACATCCTCCTCAACTGGCTTTCTTCTTGGGCTAACACCAGCATTTCTTTTGAAATATTCACTGTTGCCCCGGCCAATCCTATCATCTCTCCCCTCTGCAACTCTTGATGCCTCAAACTTGCTACGAGCTTTGTTGGAATAATCAGTGTTACTCTCGGAATCATTTACCCGCTCCTTTCCTCCCTTCAGGTACATCAAGTCCTCTTCTTCATCACTGCTACTTTGGAAGTCATAGTTCGCAGCTCTTGATGCTGTTGAGTCATGTTCTTCCTCAGAATCGGATTTCCACATTGCAGTATCAAGATCGCTCAGCACATTTTCTGATTCAGTGCCATCGTCCACCATAATCTTTCTATTATTAACTTTTCTATTGTTAGCTTCGGAATTTCTATAAAAGCGTTCATCATTCTTGGCCCTTCCAATCCTATCCTGCCTCCCCCTGTCTCTTGGAGATATCTTGAACTTCTCAGGCGTTCCATCAGAATCATCAGCATCACTGTCGAGAACACTAGCGCCCACAGCATTATTTGAATGCCATTCCTCTTCGTCATCTTCGTAATCACCATTAGGCCTCTGCTTGCCATTATGCCTCCAGTCCCTTGGCCTTGGGATCTCATCATCAGAATCGTCATTTTCAGGTTCTTCAGATCTCCTGTATCTCCCACCATACTCTTCTCTGTTCCAATACCTCATTCTAGTGAACTCCTCTTTCTCAGCTGCTTCCTCCGCAGCCCACTCTCGTTCTGCTGCATCCTCAATTTCAGCTATGAATTTGTCCAACTCCTCCTCCTCTTCCTCATCAGGAGGCTCTGGATGTTTCAATTTATTATCATGCTCTGCTACTGATGGTTTGTCTCCCTGGAAGACATAAGGACTTCCGTCCTTCTGATCAATTGCATTAAAGAATGAGGAAGCTACTCTCTGGATGCTCGCAATAGCAACTGGATCCTCAGGATTAACACCACTTCGGCGGAGCTGCTGTTCTATCTTCTTTATGTTTAGCTTCTGAGATTCGAGGGCTTGTTCAAATCTTGCCTTGAATAATGCCTGCACATAAAGATGCAGAAGTTAACAATCCACAGTAAATTGTTTTAGATTAACGCAAGCCAAAACAATCGAATATTAGAATGGGACACAATTATATTTACTCACCTTCCTTTTTGTAAGGGTATTGAAAGGTATTAAATTTTTGGGCTGCCGGTAATTTCTTCCGCGAAACATGATGATTGTTTTAGTATTATGTATGTTTACCACTATACCACCACTCAGTCTCGCAAGCATAGTCGCCATTTCCTTAATCTTTTCTTTGGGGAAGTTATCACAACAAACTTGTACAGTCTCGTGAAACTTCCAGTGTAGATGCATATTCTGGACAACTCCTCCAAAGACCCCACGAACACCGACGGGAACATAATTTTTATTTTTGAAGCCAATCTTTTTCAATGCCTGAAGCTGCTCGAGGGTTAATAGCTCAGGATCATGACGGGGTGCTGGCAGATCTGGAAGCTCGTATTTTTTCAGCTTTTGTAGTAGCAATGCCACTTTCCTCTTGGCCTGAATAAGTCAGATATTCGAAATGGTTATCTGATGAATTTAATACGTCAAAAAGAAGACATTGTCGGCCAGGAATACAGGAGGGAAAACTACATTACTACTTAAAGAAACAAAATTGTGGAAGTAATACTTCCTGAAAGTCAATCTTAAGGAGACATGCGTCGTAAAAACAGTATTTTCGAGTAATTACAAACTATCCCTACTGAAGCATTTGACATCAAATTTGCTAAAAGTAAGAATATTTTGAATCTTGTTTACTTGGATAGCCTAAGCTCTGTTGCTTATTAATTCGACTATGAGTGTTGCTCCCATCTTAACATCCTAAAGTTTTCAACACGGTATTCAGAATACTATCGGCTATAAAAGCTTGAGATATTTGGCAAGACGTCATTGTTTTCATTTAGCTTATGAAGAGAACCAGTCAATCACAGGCCTACTTGCATTTCTCTATTAGCAATACTTTGCACCAATTTGTGTGACCATTGCAAAGCAGCACAGATAAAAGTCGGAAACTGGGTATCATTAAGAAGCTAGTAGCTGCAAAGCAGAAGTTGAAACATACTCTTTTGAGGTTGTAAATGAGCCTCTCATTTTCGGTCATCAGCTTCTTTTGAAGCTTTTTCGCTCTGCGAACCTCTCTTAGAGTCTTACCAGACTCCTTTTGCATCCGCTTAGCAACTTTGCTCCTCATGCTACTACTCCCTCTAGATGTCGACATTGACCTAGACCACCCATCGAAGGGATTGGCTGGTCTAGATGAAGAAGAGTAACAATCTTCACTCGGTTTACTTGGCTGAACTGCATTGCTTGATAAAACCTTCGCCGAGACATCTCTTAACAACAAGGCATTTCTGTAAACAAATTCAAAAGATAAACCAAATAAGCACTAAAACAAAGCATTCCAATTTTCGATATTATAACAAATACGATATCGCCCAACTAAAAAAGACTTGCTCTTGCCACTTGAAAAACACCTTGAGTAAATGGGTAAAACCAGATAAATGATACGGAGGTAGAAATTCTGTTTGGTTGCTGAGAAAATGTCACTAAATGAAATGAAAATAAGCAGACATTCGCGGCATAGATGTTTCATATCTAAATCATGTAGACAGACAATCAGATTAGATTGTACGCAACTATCAGCCACTTTCTCAGCAACCAAATAGAGGGTAATTGAGAGGAGAGAGAGAGAGAGAGAGTACTTGGGGGGATTGAATTGGAGGAGAGAAGAGACGGACTTGAAGCAATGCCTATTGAGCTTCCTCGCAGCGAACATTGATGGCTTCAATCGAACGGCGACGGGCCTCAATCGCGAATCGAGTGCTTTGCTCTGTTCATTCCCTTCTTCTTCCCCACTTCAATGGCGACTGAGATTTTTCAGGGTTTTAGGTTTTGGGTTTGGGATTTGGGGGTCTGTTTTGACTAAATTGGGTCTCTTTGCAGGGCTTATTTACCAATTTGGCACTGCTCCCTAATTTTCTTAATTACGAAAATAACATTGAATTTTAAGTAGAGGGGTAATTTGTGAGAGAAATTTATATGAAACAAAACCGACATTATCTCACAATTATTAACTTAAACACGTATTTTAACATTTCTTATGATGACACTAAATAGTTTTAGTCTTTTAAAACATCATCACCTTGATGTTTTCGTTGTATACAAATTATTCTCGAAATCTTACTATTAAAAATAAATAAATAATAAAAACAAACCATTGATTATACAGCAAACATTTGTCAAGATGCAATAAGTTCCAAATTACTCAATACATCACATGACTGCTATTGCCAACAATGTATGAGCATCCCACAAGATGCTTTGATCTGCCATGCATTGGTGGCAAAAACAATCTCACTTGTCCACAAGCACGCAACGCCAATACTTAATACAACGATCACCCATATTTCGGCACCTAGGAGAAGCACGAACGGCGGAATATAAAATCATCGGTGCCAATTTTCAGTTGAACATTCTGAGCTCTGAATACTAATCTCAGTAGTCGACAGCTGAATGATACGGATATATAACTCCATGGCTACATGCCAAGGCACTTCATAAGCTCAGAGAAGTTGCAGAGGGCAAGGTTGCCTCGTTGCCACTGAAGAGTATGCGGGAAAAGAGGCCAGTTAAATGGATTCTACGATTGCACAAAATTGGGAATTCGATGTCATTCCCGGAAGCTCTTTCATCGTCATCATAACCTGTCGAGCCAATTAAATAAACTGTCTTGGGAACAAAACTGCAAATCCTGCATTATGAATGTGATTTTTAGTACAATATTTCTATAGAAATCTGACAAAGCAGAGGAAGAGAGAGTAAGCAGGAAGCTTACAGCTAGCTGGAAATCTGGAGGAGAATCAAGTTCAATGTTTTCAAGGTCATGAATTCCACACGATGTGCTGCTGTTTCCAGTCACCCCGTAGGTATTGTTATTAAAGTCAGTGGGATTCGGTGCTGAATCATTTAGAAGAGTGGAATAACCAAAAATCTCCTTGCATAACAAGGTTTCGCCCAAGCTATCTAAATCGTCAGCCTGAGATTCGCCTGCCAGCCAGGTAGGCTGCCCAATGTTGTCCTCAAACTGAGTATCAGATTGAGGGACATGATATGCTTCCTGGACTAGCTCCGCTTCCTATTCCACAAAGTAGATTTCCAGTAAGAATCCAACACACTCAAGGATTTTTGGGATCAAAGCAAAATTTCTAGAGTTTCATCTTATTCTCCTTAAGATCAGCAAATGGGCTTCTTTTGTCTTGGGTGGGATTTACAACTAGTCTATGGGATTTCACCGAGTGTCTATGTCAAGTTCTGAAGACGAACACTTTCAAAATTCCTTTTTCCCTTTTCTATTTACAGCAGTATAAAAATCGCAGCATAAGACATATGAAAGTTGCCACCTACCTTGGAAGATGAGGGAAGCACAGCTTCATCAGGAACATCATCACACCAAACAGATTTCCCTGGTCTGGGTGGAATTGGAGGATTGGTTACGGGGGTCCTGGGACTAGTTTGAAGTGCGTTGACATCAGAGTCTTCAACAACCACATTGTTATCATTCGTTTCTGACTGCTTATGCTGTTGGTAGAATATCTTCGACACCACATATTCACCTTCTTTCTCATCATCTTCAGCTCCCAGGTGATACTGATGCATCACCCAGTTCATCTTCTCTGCTTTGGAACCTTTCTTCGAACTTTTGTATAGAACCATGATCTTCTTCCAGCCCTTAATTCCATTTTCTATTAAAGCCTTGGTCTTACCCGTTTTGTGCCAGCGGACATTCTCTGCAGCCACACTACGTTGACTATCAACCTTGCGGCGCTTCCTCTGACCAGTAGCATATGCATTCATTGTTTTGTGGAAGAAATGGATGCTGCTTCCATCTTTTGTTGCACCTGAAATATAATGACCTAACCACAATTTAATAATCCTAAACCTACAGATCGATATTCGAAACTAATGAGAAGAGAGCAACTAAACTAATTTCATTAAGTTGCATCATTTGACACCAAAAAGGGGAAAAAAGAGTTCCAAGTATTCGTTCAATTTGGTTCAGTCCATATCAATTTTCAGCACAAGTAGATGATGCACTAGTGTAAAGATGAACACATGGAATCAGAAATATGAAGCATGGGAGCTACTTACCAGGAAGGTTTTCAGGATGATCACAGTAAATTCCATTGTCCCCCTCAAGTGTTGGGATGAACTCAGCAATAAACATGTGTGGCTGTGAGTTTCCAACGCCACACTTAGCTGCTAAGTGTTCTAAGAGTTCACCATCAGATGGATCAAACTTCACACCAACTGGTAAGCCAGGCCATTCCGATAAAACCTACACAAGTGGAGTTGCAGAAGTACTTAAATGAATAAAAAGCTTAACCTATAACCTGAAAGTTTGGGACAACATATAATCATTTGCTTATGAATCGAACTAAAACCCAGCTTACATCACTGTTATCTATAACAAAATGGCAATTCGGGCATTCACGATTTGCCCCACAGTCTTTGATTGGACACGCAGACGATTGAGAAGCATTCTTCACTTTGTTTGCAAGTCCTCTGCTGTTAATCAGCCAAGTCCTACAAGAACATTACACTATAAGCCACAAAATTTCATCACAGAAGCAATTTTTAGCTAGAATCTAAAGAAGCTATGACCAATAGAAAAAACATCCGAACCCAAATTATCATCCATTTCACATTCCCAGTACAATTGAAAAGGGCGAAAACCGACATGGGTTTCTCAGGAAAAACACACAAATTCACAAGAGAATTAACAAAAACATTGAATCAAATATCAATCAAGCATCTGAATAGTCATATTTAACTACAGAAAGTAAATCGTTTCACAAATGTAAAAGCTTTCAATGAAAGATTTACCAGGACACTTTCTACATTATCATCCACTCCACATGCCCAGTACAATCGAAAAGGTGACAACAGACATGGGTTTCTCAGAAAACCCCCAAATTCACAAAAAAAATTAACAAATTCACTGAATAATATGTTTCATTCACCAATAAAAATGTTTCCTTTTTTCAACCATACATTACCAAAACAGAAGCTTTGACATCATCAGCACCTTAATCCCAAATTAGGAAGCTCCCCATAAAGTAAAAATCATTACAGAGCTAGATTGAATATTCCTGTTTAATGGGTTCCCCCAAAAATCCAAATTTATATCCAAATCCAGCATCTGAACACTTCTAAAAGCAAACAACTTTCGAAACAGTATTTTCATCCGAATAAAACCCGGAAACCAAAAACTAAACAAGAAGAAATTACATGGGTTGAACCGTTGAAGAAGCTGGGAAAATTTGTATAGAGGTTTCTCAGCTCCCAATCACAAGAAAGTTTCCAGAAATTCGTATATTTATTTATTAATAATTTCTATAATTATATATTATATTGTCCGCCCATATTTTCAAAATTTTCGTCACAGACGAGTGAAAGGGCTCTCACCTTGCCATTTCTTCGAAGTCGGAGACGATGTTTCAACGAAGCGCATTCCAATTTATAGAGAGAGAGAGAGAGAGAGAGAGAGAGAGGGAGAGAGGGAAAGGGTCCTTTCTCCACCGGATTAAGTTAAAGTAGCGAGAGAGAGTGTGTGTGTGAGCGGGAAAATCCAGCTTCGGACCCGATGAGCCGTTACCTACAAGCCTCAGGTTCGGGTTCAGAGTCTTTGGCCGATGGGGAGGCGGACCCACCGCGAGAGGCCGTCTCAGTGGGGTATGGAGTTGACGAAACCTGAGTCCGAAGCTGAGGTTCGGTGAGAACGAATCTGTCCTGTCGAGCTTTTGTAGGGGTTCGAAAACCGAGTAAAGTGTAATTATGATATTTTTTCTGTCGGACTTGCTGACTGACTACCGTGCTCCCCAAGCTACATATAGAAACGTTTTGGAGACTTTTGTGGATTCTCGATTTTGCCCCTCGATATTGATGTGACTCGACTGTTTGTCTTGGGCACAAAGTAGGCTTGGTAAATATAATAAGATATATATATATATATTTAATGAGAGACAGCAGACATCAAATGTCGTTGTAGTATAGTGGTAAGTATTCCCGCCTGTCACGCGGGTGACCCGGGTTCGATCCCCGGCAACGGCGATTTTTGAGCCTTTTTTTTTTCATAACTTTTGGTTTGTGAACTTTGTTTACCGGACTTAGCGGGTGTCTGCGGACATCTTCACAATCCAGAAGGAAGACCGCGTACATTAATTGTTACAGAGTTTGAACTCGACATCGATGGTCGTCGAGGTCGAGATTACGAGAAGCTCAAAAGAGATTTTATTGAACAGGAACAAGGCTTTTGGATGAACCCCTTATATTTACAATGTCAATACATCACAGCAACCCCAACTCCACAACTCTAAAAATTCCTTTCTATTTGATCTCAAATCAAACCAAACTAAACCTAACGATTATCCAAATTTCAACAGTAACATCAAACCGTTGGCCGCTAAATGAAAAATTATCTTTTTTTCCCTACGAGTAGTTGTCTACTAATATTTCGAGGTGTGCTTGATTGAGCTTTCCTGAGAGTAATTTAATAAACATTTGATAGGTAAAAATTACAGCTGATCAAACCCAAATCCTTTTCGTCAACTTCATCTGTTTTTCTGTTAAGTAGAGATAATAAACTTAAAATTCATCCCACAACCTAAAAAATGGAAAGAAAAAAAAGGAGGTGGATTTAAAAAATCCTTCCTATGCCCCCTATATTTAACAGAAAAATAAATTGAGTTAACTGATATAATTGAAGTACCATATGAGATTGAGAACCACAATAAGAGAAAAAGAAAAACTATTCTAGAATGAAGGTAAAATTCATGACAACAATGCCGGATATCTCAAAAATAGTTCAAGCAGATTAAGATGTTAGCACAAAGTCGTTTATCTCGTTTATTGAACAAACAACGAGGACAACAATGTCGTTTTCTCTCTTTCGAAATTCATAAACAACAAAATTGAAAATTCTTTCACAAAAATTACCATAAATTTTGACAGAATTGGCGGTTAAATTATAAGTCTAACAGGCAAATCGAAAACAATCACAAGATCTTAGGACATACATACCACATCAACATTTAGCAAGCAGTCCATAAGAAATTGCAATCAAGATAAAACCTTTCAACAGTTTATTAAATTTCTCCTTTCATATAAGAGCATGGTTCGGAGGATTAGAGTGCGTTTCAGCAACCATCTATATAACATATAGTATCGAGCTCCAATTGCCACTGCTCCAACCACGGCAAAAGCTACGAGAACAGCGATTTCGTCCAATGAAAATCTCCTCAAAAGCAGTGGGCAAGACCAAAGACATAGGAATGACGTTGCTACAACTGCAATCAATAATACAATCCTCCAAATCTTTCTTATCACAGTAGGCTTATCAAGCAATATCGGCACATCATCAGGAATGACGTTGCTACAACTGCAATCAATAATACATAATATTCAAACTCCTTCATCGATCCCAATACGATAAATTTAAAATTGTTATGATCCGGATATTACCTATATTTTCTTATGATTCCATATGAATCTGGGATGTAGATCGTGAGTGTTCCAGCATAATTGTGGCCTCCAATATGATAGCAAGCAGTAACAAATACCTGATTCGTCAATCCTTCAGCCTCCTTTTTGAACTGATCAATGAGAATACGTGCCGAAACACGATGGCCTTCATGTCGACCATTAGTTGCACATACAAATACATGGGAGCCACTCAACAGCTCTTGCACTCCGGAAGCCCATGGTTTGTGATTCACAAGGACATCTTCAACAAAGATGTCCACATCCGACTCTTTCAAGCCCCTTTGATCAACAAACAAAAACAACCTCAGAATCACAAAAAGGGAATTAGTCGTAAACTAAGCCGTTAAATTCAATTTATAGAACTAATTTCAGAAGCTAAAACATATCTAATTAACTATTTAATTCAGTACATTCAGCACAATCTCGTAATCAAAAGAGAATTTAAAACAGAAATTACTTCAGTCTAAACTAGGAATGGGCCTTCGATTATGAATTAATTACGGTTTGCCATTGGGTGTCTTGGTGTGGGCCGTGCTTAACAGTTGGGTTGGGCTGCTGCATTTAGGCCCAGGGTGTAGTTCTCACGCGTTTTTCTTTAAAATTTTCTTTATTTCTTTATTTCTTTATTTCTCATCCTTTAAACTTTGTATTTTCTTTAAAATATTTTTCTTTTTGGTGATGCAGCAGATAGATGAACATGTTCAAAGGGAAATCATGAACCACAGATCACTGCATCCGAATATCGTTTGATTCAAAGAGGTCAGTGATCATAAACTATTTTCATTTTGTATTTTAAGAATGAATTTGGCAAGTTCTGTTTGAATTTTGTGTAAGTATCTGCTGAGGGTGGGTGGATGAAGACAGAACACACTACATTTGGCCTCTGGTGTGCTTAAACTGGTACGGGGGATGGCTAGACTTTGAGCCTGGGATGCAGTAGGACTAAGAGAAATGCCCTACCCACCGGGGCAATCCACCACTTGCAGAATTGTTGTCAAAATAACTCTGCTAAAAATATGAGCTATACTTCCTGCACTTCGTTTTTAATGTGAAGTGGAAATAGTCTTTAGAGTGGCTTATATGAGATAATTGATAGAGGTTTGTGTTTAAGACTTGAGAGTAGCGCGGTGTCTTTCTTGCTGGTTCTGCTCACACCACCTCATCTAGCCATTGTGATGGAGTACACGGTTTGGTGAGAACTCTTCGAGAGAATATGCAGTGTTGGCAGATTTAGCGAGGATGAGATAAAGTAGTTTCAAATGCAGAGAAAATTTCGTTGGAAGTGATTTTAGTGTAGAGTCTCAAATATGGGATCTCTGAATGTCCCCTGAAATGGAATCCATCTCGATTTTCGTTTAGTTTCATATGGGAAAAGTTAGGTCTGAAGCATTTTTACAGTCAGTCATGACTCATAATATAACTAAAACTTACTTTTTCGATTTAATTGTTGTTTTGCATCAGGCAAGGTTTTTCTTCCAGCAGTTGATAACAGGAGTTAGTTGTCATTTGATGGTCTGTAATTTGGCACTTGTAGCAAGGAAATAATTCGTTTCAATAGTATACGACTTAGTTTTAATAGTATATGACTCAGTTTTTGAATAGCACTTGGATGGTTTTCGAATAACGGTATTACGACTTAGTTTTCTCAATGCTTAGTTTTCTAAATGCCAATAACAGCTCTAGATTTTGTCTTAGTTTTCTAAATGCCAATAACAGCTATAAATTTTGTCTCAAGTGGAGTATTCTTACTAATGTAGCATTTTGTTGACACATCAGTATGTTTTTTTTTATTGTTTCTCTGCTTGAACAGAGAATTGTTAGCGTCCGGGTGGGAACGTGGGTCGACTCATTTTTTTAGTCTCTCCGTCGTAAGCAGTTTTAGATGGCATTCTTCAATGTAGCTATAGGTAAGACAACACTCTCAGTATTCCATAATCAAACCACCTTGTGATTTTTTTTATCCACCAAGTTAAGCTTTTATGTGCCATCTTGAATAGTTATAAGTTATTGCTCCAGATTACTCCAGTGCGACATTGTTGTTCTCTTCCTTACCTCTTAAGCTTGCTTAATATACTTAATTCTTATTACTGTTGTAAAAGGTCGTACCCAATGCACAAGGCTCCCGCTTTACGTAGGGTCTGGGAGAGGTAAATGTCGGCTAGCCTTACCCCCATTTATGGAGAGGCTGCTCCCGATCTTATTACTGTTGTATTGTTAAGAAATACTCAATTGCGGTTTCAGTTCATCGTTATGAATCGGATTAAAATTAACCACTCATTGGTTAATTATCTAAATCCTATAAATTCGGATTAATATTAAAGCAACTACAAAACAAAAAGCTCAAGAAATCAATGCGAATTTACCTGTATTTGATCATTTGTGGGAAAATCAACACATCGCCGTCCGAAAACTCAGTTCCTTCGTGTCCTTCAATTACTGTCAGCAACGTCTATCAAAAACCAAGAAAAAAGTGAGTAATGAAGTCAACTCATCTGAAAACCAGAACTCAATAGCTCCAGGAAATAAGAAGCACTGAGAAAAAGCAATCAGAAATGGTGATGAATTGAGCTGGAAAATGAACCTTAACGATGATGTCGTTCTTGCGAGCTTCGAGAGCAGATGCGAAGAACTTAGGGAGAGGATCGGACTCAGAGCCTTCGATGCGCCATGGCCAGGCCTCGGGGGTCTTGTAGCAGAGGAAAATATGTTGTGTATCGTCAAGAGTGTCTACACAAGACTCATATGGCATAGTCACATAGTTGTCCCAATTAGTACCACCATCAGACAAATCCCATTTTACAATATCCACTCCTATTTTGTTCACCGTAATTCTATTATCTTGTCCACAAAATTGTGCTTGTACAAGAACCGTGTCGCCGCCTTTTAGATTGAGCTTCTTGTTTGAAAGATTTCCCAACCAAAGACGATATTCAGGGGAAGCAATCACGGTGTCCTCCAGTGGTCGGTTGCGTCGGATGCATAGGATGCGATGGGAAGCAATTACGGTGGCCTCCATTGGTCGGATGCGAAAATAAGTTCGCTGGGTAGAATTAATAACATGAATTTGTAGAGAACCAGTAGAGTAGTAGAAGTCTGAAGAATAAACGATGCCCAAAGCCAACCCTCCTATATAATCAATACTTGGCGGCACTTCAAATTTGACAGTTACATCCTTTCTCGCGACATAGGCTAACCGGTTAGGAATATCATTTCCAGAGAGAAAAATTCCACCAAATGCATTTTTCTACAACATGGGGTGCAAAGTCAGTATAAGCAACAATATAAAAAGCAGAGAGAGAGAGAGAGAGAGAGAGAGAGAGACAGAGAGACAGAGAGAACCATACCGTTTGGAGGTTCTCCTTGAAAGTAGCAGTGAGACTGGTACACCCTTCCATATGAAGTGAATCCATGTAGTCCAATGAGTTCTCCAAGTTTGGAATATCTTTGAGTTTGCGGCAGTCTTTCAGTTCCAATACCCTCATTTTCGACATCTCTGAAAAGTCAGACATTATTTCCAGTGCAGTGCAGTAATTCGCTTGCAGTACACACAAACTGTTTGGCAAATCTGGGATTGCCTTAAGGTTTGTGCAATTATTTAGACGTAAAACCTGAAGCTGAGAAAGGCCACTGAGAATGGGTAGCCAATTAAAACCATTCCCACATAGAACTAAAACTGTTAAAGAAGATAGACTCCCAATTGTTTTGAGAACGGCACCATCTGTTATATTGCAGTCGCTGAGATATAATTCCTCAATCATCTTCAGTTGTGCTAAAAAATGGTAACCCCCACACAAACCCTTACAGCCATTGAGGTCCAATGCCTTGAGATGTTGGAGTTTTGAAAAGTCTGGTAATTCAGTCAAGTTATGGCAGTCATTAAGTATGAGATACTTCAACTCCTTAGGCAACTGTTACTCAAAAAGAGAAAACAACAATAAAAATCCAAATAAATAAAAGAGAGAATGCATGACGATGACTGATGTTGATATTTACAAGGACATTGATAATTATATCGTACCAGCTTCGAATCCTCCCAAACTCGTACCATCTTGCTGTTGCTCAGGTTTAAACAAACTAGGTTTCGTTGATCAAAATTTGCTGGTATGGCTTCAAGAGGAAATCCATCCCAAATCAACAATCTTAACTCCTTGGAAAGATGTTTGTAGCTTCCAGTCAGCTTTACATTTATCAGGTGGAGAAATTTCAGACGCCACATCTTCTTAAACGCTTCTGTACGGAAGCTTTGCTTGTCATCAGAATCTCCTGTGTGTAGTCCTTCTACTGCTTCTGTTCCCTGTTAGAGAGAGAGAGAGAGAGAGCAAAAAAAAATAAGAAAAGGATAATATTCACATGAAGCAGAGCCGTGAATTGGATGAGTGAACTACTAGAAAGGTAGGGCATACAACATAATTATGTATTTTCTCTTTGGAATTACAGTGGATGAAATCCTTTTCTTTTCTTTTTCTTTTTTCGTAAAATATATTATGTACGACATACATCATATATATGCGGATATCCGTATGTACTTCTCTTTCTTTACATGTACTTAACATAATATCTTTTTATTGTAAAAGTACTTACCGATTCATTATTGAGCACGCTTTTTGCATCTTTAATATTCCACAATCGACTACGTTTTCCCTCCATAGGAGATTCTGCACGCACAATTTCTCTTCCCATATCTCGAATCAAATCATGCATCTTCAATGTTTTATATGTTTTATTTTCAATATATAAGAGACATCGTTTGCAGAGTATGGCAATTTCTGCTTCTACAGAAAAATGATTACAACCATCCAATATTGCCGTGACCACATGTACAGGCAGTCCAATAAAGAAATTAGATATGTCAAGGAACACACCCTTCACATGATCATCACATAGTCCATCGTAGCTTAATTTAAGCGTTTCATGAATTTTTCCATTTGGAATATTTCTCAATTTATCCAATGTACCTTCCCATATGGTTTTACTCTCTTCCGTAGCCAACAAACGACCAACAACTTTAAGAGCTAGGGGCAATCCTCCACAATAATCAACAATATCTCTTGCCAATTCAATATATTCGTTATATTTTTTATCGAGATAATCATTTCCAAAGGCATGCCAACTAAAGAGCTCAAGAGCTTCTTTCTTTGTCATTGCTTGTGCCTTATATTTTTTATCCACCTTTTGTATATTCAGCACTTGCTCATCTCTTGTTATTATAATAATTCTGCTCCCTGGACCAAACGATTCATGTTTTATTGCCAATTTATCTAACTGGTCTGCATCATCTATGTCATCAACCACGACAAGTACCTTTATCCTTCCAAGTCTTTTCATGATCTCTTTGGTCCCTTCGGCAACACTGCTTATCTTAATGTCAGGCTGTTTTAAAATATCTCGAAGAAGTTGTTCTTGCAGACACACCATCTCTTTCTTTTTACTCCTCACATCTTCAAGGTAACATTGACGACTAAAACTCTGCTCATAATTGCTACAAACTGCTCTGGCAAGTGTTGTTTTACCTATACCGCCCATACCATAAATTCCAATTATTCGAACATTAGGTGAACCTCCAACGTCTAAGTATTCAGTACTGAATTCTTGCACGCGAAAAGCCATTCCAACTGAGTGCTTGTCTTCTTTAAAGTCTATGGTTTTCAGCCGTCCCTTGACGTCCCCAACAATTTTCTCGATAAACACCCATTCACACCTACGAGTAGAAATTCCAAATTACAAGAGCCATACTAAATGCCTTATTCATAATGACTAGATATTTACATGTTGAAACAGATTTGAATAAACTGGATTAATTGAGCTCAATTCAACCACGTATCTAATCTTTAATTATAATGTGAATACATTAGATCACTGGTGATTGGACTATTATGCAATTGTAGCTTTCAGTAATATAATTAAGAATCCATTAGAATTGGTATTTTAATTTGATAAAATGTGGAGCATTTGTCCTTCACACACCCATAAAAAACAAAGCATGTACCTTGCGTTTCACTTCCTTAATGTCGACGAAAATTCTTATGCAAATGCTCTACCTTTTATATAATTCAAGATCCTTGGTATTAATAATATCATTAATTATTTTCAATAATAAAATATTTTTTATTTTTAAATATATTCATTTAACGTTAAAAATGTTACAATTAGTATATTTATATTTATGGCTAAATTTTTTATCATATATTTTTATTTTTAGTTTGTACCTTTTTTTAATTTGCAACCGTTTTTTAATTTGTATCAATTTTCTTTTCAGTTTTAATTTGTACCCATATATTAATTTCTTTTTGTATCCATATTTTATAAAGTTTTATTTGTATTTGTACCCATATTTTTTTTATTTATTTCTACCCATTTTTAATTTTGCTAAATGTACCCATGCTAATTATATGCACCATTCATGTATAATTTTTTTCAAATTTTTAATCTTAAAATGTACTCATTCTTAAATATACCAATTCGTTATATGTAAAATGTACCATTTTTTAATATAAAATCTATTCAATTTTTTTCTAATTCATTTTTAAACTTATATGGGTACATTCTTTTTTCTTTGATTTGAGAATGTATCCATGTTGAGTTTAATTGAAGAAATTTACTAATTTTATTAAGCTTAATATCTTTTTTTTTGGTGATTTTGAAGAATGTACCCATGTTTATATATATATATACACACACACACATACACACACAATAGTATATTTATATTTTAATATTTTTAATCCCACAAATTATGGTTTTTTATTTAAAATCTCATTAATATAAACAACTATAAATTTCAATTTTTAATTTAAAAAAATATAGCAACGTCATAAAAATAAATTACCACATTAATTTCAGGGTCTTAGATAAAAAATTGAAAACCAACAAAATTTTAGTCAAAGAATATTCATAGGTAGGGACCGCATCCAAAGTCTCTTTGTACGAATTGTAATAAATTTTTATGTAGGGGCCAAAATTACAGTTCTATCATAGATCAAAGATCAACAATCCAATTTTTCTCATCACATGTAAAATCAGATTCAATGCCTTAATTATAATATCTTAATTTTGGTTGATTAGTGAAATACGATGATACGAAAATTGAAGTAGACAAAAAAAAAAAAATACCCGTCGGCCGTGGTTTTGAGATTCCAGCCGCTCAAATCTGCAGAAGCCTTAAGATCCTCTCTCCACTGCTTGACCTCGTTTGGATCTTGATCGCTTTCATGCTTCCGAAATGCTTCCTCAAAACTACCACCCTGTCTCCTGACTTCAGAAGGGTCAACGTCGTAGAATATTGGACACACTGTCTTCCCCTCTTGATCTTCTCGGCACCTCATGATCTTCGACAGCTCCCTCAGGCACCATCGGGACTCCGCGTACCTCTTCGAGAAGACGATGACAGCGATTCTTGACCCTTCGATTTCTTGGTCTAGTTCTCTCTGTATGTTTTCCCCCCTTGTGAGCTGGTCGTCCATAAACGTGTTAACTCCGGCTTTGCATAACGCACTGAAGAGGTGGCCTGTAAAGGTTTTGCGGGTGTCTTCACCTCTAAAGCTCAGGAACACTTCGTACTTCCAGCGGTTTGAGCTCCGCGAGGAAGACGAAGAGGCGGCAGCGGCGGCTCCATGGGCGGAGCTGCTGGTATCCATTGCAGCCTGTAGAAGTGCAGTTTGGCTTTCAAATAACCAAAGTCAAGTATTTCCCCAGATTCCCAGTCTCGGTGGCCCTTATAAATTTGTCACTGCCGTCCATAACGCGTGAGTGTTTTCCCCCCACAGTTTAATTTGTATAAATGTTACCATCAAATTTAAAAAAATAAATAAAAAAATGTCTAACTTCTTTACGATGCAATTTCCTTTTGTAGTTTTCTGAGAAATCTGCCGCCCAACTTTGGCCAGTTAACGACCTTGTTGTATTTTAACTTTAAGGGTGGTGCGCAGGCCGGTGGACGTAAGAACGTAAGAATCAATGGGAAGAGACCTCATCTCATTATTCTGAATCTGATTGCCGTTTTCTTGGCGCTTCTCCTCAATTTTCTTACTTTCTCCTCCATTTGGAAGCTTCTGGTCATTAATTTTTTTCAGCTTCATCCGAAGATGCTCCCATTTGGCCCCTGTAAGGAATGAAATTGAATTTCGTGTTCAGCCATTTAAAGATTCAACTCTATGTTTCATCAATACCAATCAAGTAAGGACAGGTATGATCAAGCTTAATAAACAATTTGACAACAGTGCCCACTTGACCCTGTCCCTCCCTTCCCCAAAACCACCTCTGGTTTGGTTTATCTATAAAAAAAGAGTTGTTTGATTTGGTTCATACGAGTTGTTTGATTTGGTTCCTCAATGTTAATGTAACTCCTTATCAATAATCTATCATACAACACTAGTCCAAAACGACCAACAAGGAAAATTTCAGAGTAAACAAGGAAAATTTCAAGGTGTCAATCAACTCGACAACTAGTCCAAAACAGACTAAATTAGCTCAATTCGAGACTTCTTAAATTGAAATGGGAAAATCATAAACTCATCAATAAACATGTGTGGCTGTGAGTTTCCAACGCCACACTTAGCTGCTAAGTGTTCTAAGAGTTCACCATCAGATGGATCGAACTTCACACCAAGTGGTAAGCCAGGCCATTCCGATAAAACCTACACAAGTGGAGTTGCAGAAGTACTTAAATGAATAAAAAGCTTAACCTATAAGCTGAAAGTTTTGGACAACATATAATCATTTGCATATGAATAGAACTAAAAACCCAGCTTACATCACTGTTGTCTATAACAAAATGGCAATTCGGGCATTCACGATTTGCCCCACAGTCTTTGATTGGACACGCAGACGATTGAGAAGCATTCTTCACTTTGTTTGCAAGTCCTCTGCTGTTAATCAGCCAAGCCCTACAGAAACATTACACCATAAGCCACAAAATTTCATCACAGAAGCAATTTTATCTAGAATCTAAAGAAGCTATGACCAACAGAAAAAACAACCGAACCCAAATTATCATCCATTTCACATTCCCAGTACAATTGAAGAGGGCGAAAACTGAAATGGGTTTCTCAGGAAAAACACACAAATTCACAAGAGAATTAACAAAAACGCTGAATCAAATATCAATCAAGCATCCGTATAGTCATATTTAACTACAGAAAGTAAAATTAAATATCAATCAAGCATCCGTAATGAATCAAATATCATTACACATTACAGAGCTAGATTGAATATTCCTGTTTAATGGGTTCCCCCCAAAATTAAAATTTAAATACAAATCTAGCATCTGAACACTTCAAAAAGCAAACAACTTTCGAAACAGTATTTTCATCCGAATAAAACCCAGAGACCAAAAACTAAACAAGAATAAATTATATGGGTTGACGAAGCTGGGAAAATCTGTATAGAGGTTTCTCAGCTCCCAATCAAAAGAAAGTTTCCAGAATTTCGTTTATTATTTTTTAATAATTGCTATATTAAATAATTATATTGTCCGCCCATATTTTCAAATTGAGTAAATTGTAGCTATGGTCCCTGAACTTTACTCAAATTGGAGCAATGGTCCTTCAACTAAAAATCCATTACCATTGGTCCTTCAACTCATTAAAACGTGCAGCTATGGTCCCTCAACTAAAAATCCATTACCTTGGTCCCTTAATTTTAATTCAACTGGAGAAATGGTCCCTTAACTTTATCCCAATTGTAGCTATGGTCCTTCAAACATAACTCGGTTTGACAAATTTTTTTAAGTAGTTGACGAAAATGACCATAATTACACACTTTGATGAGTTGAGGGACCCTAATTAAATAAATGGTTATTCCAACATAACATATTTTGACAAAATTTTGAAGAAATTAATGAAAAGGACTATAGCTACATATTTTGATAAGTTGAGGGACCAATGGTAATGGATTTTTAGTTGAGGGACTATTACTCCAATTTGAGTAAAGTTCAGGGATCATTGCTACAATTTACTCTTTCAAATTTTCATCACTGACGAGTGAAAGGGCTCTCACCTTGCCATTTCTTCGAGGTCGGAGACGATGTTTCAACCAAGCGCATTCCGATTTATAGATAGAGAGAGAGAGAGAGAGAGAGAGAGGGAGGGAGGGAGAGGGGTCCCTTTCTGCACTGGATTAAGTTAAGAGCAACTCCACCCATAGAGCCCTCCCCCTGGCAATCCACTATTCAATCCACCCTATTGAACAGTAACTGCCTTAAATGAATAGTAATTACCATTAATGAACAGTAATTGCCATTTACATCTCCACCCTTGGAACCCTCTCCCCTGGCAATAAGCAATAAAAATAATAGTTTTTTATGTTTGTTTAAATAATAAAAAATTACAAAAGCTATATATATCTCTCTCTCTCTCACACAAAAAAAATACAAAAATACAAAACCCTCGGGCCACAGGCCCGTCGACTCCCCACCCCCCTTTCACTCGACCTCCCACCCTCACTCGGGCCCTTCCTCGCTGGATTTGCTCCCACCGGCCCGAGGGCCCTTTCTCCTCGCCTGACGCCCGAGCAACCAGCAAGGCTGGAGTTGCTCTAAAGTAGCTAGAGACAGAGTGCGTGTGTGTGAGCGGGAAAATCCAGCTTCGGACCCAACGAGCCGTTACCTACAAGCCTCAGGTTCGGGTACAGAGTCTTTGGTCGATAAGAAGGCGGACCCACCGCCATAGGCTGTCTCAGTGGGGTCTGGGGTTGACGAAACCTAAGTCCGAGGCTGAGGTTCGGAGAGAACGAAGGTGTCCTGTCGTGCTTTTGGTGGGGGTTCGAACACCGAGTAAAGTGTAATTATGGTATTTTTTCTGTCGGACTTGCTGACTGACTACCGTGCTCCCCAAGCTACATACAGAAACGTTTTGGAGACTTTTGTGGATTCTCGATTTTGCCCCTCGATATTGATGTGACTCGACTGTTTGTCTTGGGCAGAAAGTAGGCTTGGTAAATATAATAACATATATATATATATATATATTTAATGAGAGACATCAACTGTCGTTGTAGTATAGTGGTAAGTATTCCCGCCTGTCACGCGGGTGACCCGGGTTCGATCCCCGGCAACGGCGATTTTTTGAGCTTTTCTCCTTCCTTTTATTTTTTAATTTTTTATTTTTACATAACTTTTGGTTTGTAAACTTTGTGTACTGGATTTAAAGGGTATCTGCGGTCATCTTCACAGTCCGGAAGGAAGACCACGTCCATTATTTGTAAGAGAGTTTGAACTCGACATCGATGGTTGAGATCGAGATTACGAAATGCTCAGAAGAGATTTTATTGAACAGGAGCGAAGGCTTTTGGATGAACCCCTTAATTTTACAACGTCAATACATCACAGCAACCCAACTCCACAACTCTTAAAAATTCCTTTCCATTTGATCTCAATCAAACCAAACTAAACCTAACGACTATCCGAATTTCAACAGTAACATCAGACCGTAGGCCGCTAAATGAAAAATTACTTTTTTTCCCTACAAGTAGTTGTCTACTAATATTTCGGGGGGTGCCTTATTGAGCTTTCCTAAGAGAGTAATTAGTAAACATTTGGAAGGTAAAGATTACAGCTTGCAGGATCAATAACACTGGCTAAAGCAGGAGAAAAAACCTTTAGGTTTGTCTTCCATGTGCGTGTTGGATTTAGGGGTTTCACCCGAGTCGTTGTGAGTAACCATCAAAGAACTAGTACCAGGCGACTCTGGTGGGAGTACAGCGTTCTCAGATTTGAATATCCGTTGAGGGATAGCGGGTGCTGGTGCCGAAATAGTAGAGAGGTAACGCAGCAGCATCTGTATAATTTGGGTGAAGTTGGGCCGGTCATTGGGATCCTCTTTCCAACATGAAGTTACAATCAACGCCAAATCCTTGGGGAGGCTATCAGCACTCGGCCTCACATTCTGAAACAATTCGTATAACCTCATATTACGAAGCTTAAAAAGTACCAAGTTATGAATAAGATTATTGTGGTATTTTGTTACCTTAAAAGCAGCTGCATACGCAGCTTGTAAATTCGACATGCCTTCGAAAGGCAGCTTGTTATGGATGAGTTCCCACAATACAATTGCAAAGCTGTAAGCGTCCACCTTATGATTGTAATGCTTCTTTTCTCCATGTCGTAATGTAACTGTGCTGTAAAGCTGCCACCAAATACAAAGGTGGAAGATTAATTTGCTGATACCAAACAAAAATTAATTTGCTGATATCAAACACACTCACAAGACATATGAGAAACAAATTCTCAACCTTTGAATGACCGAGTTAAGTACCGTACCTCAGGAGCCATCCACCGGTATGTCCCAGTTTCGGCGGTCATCATCTCTGTCAATGACTCTTCTCTTGCTAAGCCAAAGTCTGCAAGTTTGACTGTTTTTTGGTCGGCAGTCAAGATCAGATTCTCTGGGAAAAGGACAGGATAAAAGTGTAAGATTGTGGAACAAACCCTGTTTTCGGAAATAAGCTTCGCCCTAACAATAGTTGCAATTCGTTTTGTGATGCTGAAGTTATCTCTGCTACGGAAGTCTTCAATCATGCTGAATACTAAACTATCAGCGACTAACACTAAATAGCAATCCTTCGGATTTCCATATTTGAGACATGCTTACACATAGACTTCACTTTAATCCTTCTCGGTTCTTCTATGTAGGCGTTCCCTTCTTGACTCTCCTAACGTCGAGCTAAGTGACTTCGTTCAAAGGTCAACCCTTATGTTAAACAATGAACTAAACCACATACCAGGTTTCAGGTCACAGTGAATGATACCGTGGGAGTGTAAGCACTCCATAGCACGAGCAATATCAAGCGCAAACCCAACTGCCATGCACGTGTCCAAGCACCTTGGCCGCATACTGAACAAGTATTTGCGCAAAGTTCCGCCTAGAAGAAGCTCAGTCACTATGACCATGACAGGTTCTTTGCAGGCACCAATGAACTGGTAATACAAAGTTAAAAATCCCCCATCAGATATCGCAAATACGCCTATTTAGTAATCAAAAATACTTATCGAAAACTAGACAACAACCTTCACTAAGTTTTTGTGCTGCACTTTCGACATCATTGCCACTTCCCTCGCAAACCGCGCTTCTCTCTTGGCAATCTCCTCGATGAACAATTTTTACAGCAACATTTTGATTCTTATATCTAGAACAAACAAAACACAACAAACAAACAGATTGACAACACAACAGAACAGAACATCATCGTTGTAACTCGACAAGAAAAACACATATTCGGCATCGTAAACACCATAAATGCCCAACACCAAAGCAAGTTTTGATCTTTGATTAGTTCTGCTAAAACCCAACTCAATTTTGCATTTATGTTTAACAATATACAAGAGATAATAATAAATTGCTAAACTTGAGAGACCAGAAATTCAGAAT